CAGAGGAGATTGAGGTGGCTTTGAGAATAAATCAGGGGTTGAGCGTTCAACGCCCGACTGTCCGACTGCTGACCTGAGCTGATTACGTAGCCAACCTGGAACAGCATGTTGAGGCTCCGGGCTCGATTAGCGTTGCTGAGTACGCTAGACCCCTGCACCGCCCCGACAAAGAGCTAGAGAATTTGGAGGTTAGTCACTGCGCAGCACCATCATGACTAATCGAAAGACTGTCCGGTGTTTCTTGACGGGCTGGTGCCTGCAGCATTGCGCGAATTCTTGCACTGGTCGCTTGCATGTCCCCTCCAAGCTCCGTGCGAAGCGATTGTGTCTTCCACAGCCTCGTGCTTTCCAAATCATGCGACCCTGCACCCGAGACATGCGCGCCGGAGAAAGACGACTATTATACGCAGGAACCGACGGCATCTATAGCCAGCCAGGTCATCTCAGCATGGAAGACGCCTAGCATGTTCCCCTTCTCTTGCAAAGGCCTGGCGCGAAGGCAAACCGTGCCACGCGTAGGACTTTTGCTCGTCACATCTGCTCAGCTACGTTGAACCATACATATCCATCACGCCCTTCGACCCGAATACGACGCAACACTTGAGAAGTCGGTCGTTTCGACCAGGATGGTGAAGGGCGTCTCTGCTTTGAAGGGCCTCAAATAATCTTCCGCCGTAGACTTGAAGTGTGCTGGTTGCGGTCAAGAGGGCAGATCTCCACGTTCGCGATGACCTGATATGGTGTGACCATTAGCATCACGAGTTGGTCAGGGAGTCGACACATGTCGGTTATGTCGTCGAGATAATTCTTCGTAGCGGCACGAGCGAGAGGACGTTGTCTAGTCATAAGCATCGCTATAGGCACTAATGGACGGTTCAACAAAGTGTTAGGACGCACCCGAACGAGATCTCATCGTGCGGTACAACTTTCCCACATGGTGCAGGATCATTACAGGACGCATGCGGAGAGGACTAGTCGATTCGGAGGATATGACGATGGCTCTAGAACAACTATTATGACTCTCGGGGCAATGGAAGGCGGCTAGCTCGCTGACTGAAGCCGCACCTCTATTACCACAAGCTGAGCCAGGCGGTGCCGTGTGGAGGGCATCAGTCAACGCCGAAACTTTCAATGGGCGGTAATTCAGCCGGCGATCCATTGCCATATATTCACTGGGTGGCGAAGCTCCCTCCAATGGCGCTTCATACTTGTGTGCACGTCCACATTTGCATCCACATCTCGGATCACGCGGCAACATCACACTCAGCTTATCCCAATTTACAACCTCACTGAGTGGACATATTCGCACCAACTAATGGACGGGCAACCGTCACTCGCCGTGAACGCTACGCATGCAAATCAAAAAGGGCCGACGCCGACCGATCACGATATGCAAGACAGGTCTCAAAGCTTCTCAAGTGTCGATATAAACCTCAATGTTCTTCGCAACCTTCACCACGATATCAGACAGCGTAGTGGTACCCTCCTGCAACCTTGTCAACATGGAGAAGCTCATTATTATCGATTCCGGCTGCTTCTCAATTTGCTGGAGTGTTGTCGACACATCCTGCATTTGGCTACTCTTAGTTTTCTCAGCTACCTTTCTTGAGTCAATCTCGCAGCTTTTTTATGCGCGAATTAATTTCCGAGCGAAGTGCGTATGTTCGTGTCCCAATCGACTATTGTTGCAGGATCCCAGGTCGATGCACATATGACTGTTTTCAAACCAAATATCGTCATCTTCCCAAGGCACCAGGTCTAGTCTGAAAAGCACCGTGGTTCGGAGTCCTCGCGGTGCGCTGAAACTCTACGGAAACGAGTAGGTACATAGAGTCCTTGCACATAATTATGTCCGACAGCCTATTCGAGCTTTGCGGCATCAGTGCCGCCTGTCCGAACGGGGGCAAAAGCAACGTCGCGATCGACTGACGCATCTCCGAGTTGAGGTTGGTGGTTTTGGTTTCCGAAGCGGCCGTATACTGGATAGCTTTCGAGTTAACCCCATACCCAAAGTCCACCTCCTACTCGTCGCCGCCGGGCCAATCTGCTCGGTTCCTTCCTGCTTCAAATATCGACTAAGCTCGACCAGTGTTTAGTCTATTTGCGCCGATGTCTACGCCAAGCACGTACATACTCTTACAATCTTCCACGAGCGATAGATTGGTGCCGAGCGCCTCTGTGAGAATGAAGCGGAGCCTGAACGACATTATCATGAAGGCCAAACGTGTCATCAAGAATGAAGCATGGTCGATGCAGGGGACGCTTGCAAAATGGAGATTTCACCTTTCCGACGACAACGACACAAAAGTTCTTCGCAAGCAGCAGCCCCGCGGGAGCTCATTCCAGACAGGAGTCTGATTGCTTTGCTTCCGGTTCGTCTGCTCAAAAGACTTATAACCCGTGTCATGTAGGCAGCAGGCCATTATGCGATCCTTTCCAGCAGTAAGCCTTATCATCTTCGGCCGCTTCTTTCCAGTGAAGAAGAACCTGTCAGTATTGCCACATTTATCCGTAACATGTGCAAGTTACTCACCTGAGTCGACAAGGTTGGGGGTATCAGCTTCCGCAGAGTTTGTGCTCTGTGAGTCTGTCATGGCTATATTCCTTTAAAGATCAATAACCTCAGAACCACCATCAAAACGTAACATCATACAGCATGCGTCTAGTATGTTTCGTAGCCGATAGTCACTTTCAACGATCTCGTTAGACTGGGTGCAATCGCATTGTCGTGGGCGGAAGAACAACACCAAATCATCGCACGTCCTCGTCACCTCGTTGTTGTCTAGCAGTCTGTTGTGAACAGAGCCATGTAGCAGAAGCCGTTGTTCGCCGCTACAATCCTCATGACCTCCTTGACTCAATTGTCGGCGGATCCCAACCACCCAATTCCATCGGATATTATGGTCTCACAGTTTGACTCCATACAATCGCTAGAGCCTCGTTGTTCAGGAGGCTGCTTATTGCCAGTGCGGCACGAACAGATAGCCTCCTACTGCTAGGTAGTTTCCAAGTAATCTTCCGGCACGTCTCTCGTTGCTTCTGCCTTTGTTATAGTTATCGTCCTGGTTATCATTCGATGTAGACGTTGCAGCCTGGCGGTTCCTCGACTCCAACTGCGGAGAGTTGACAGCTGTATCCAGGGGGCCTCCATACCTTTGCATTGACCTTACTCCAGCCCCAAGCGAAATACCGAACCAAGTGAAACAAGCGACCGACCAAACAGATCGCCGCACCGTCTGATAACCTGACTATACATTGGATTGTTCACTTGTTGCTTCTGCATGTCCTCATTTTTTTCCGGAATGCAATCTTGCAGCGCATCAGCCACTTGTAGGAGCACATCTATAGCATCAATGCCTGTTCTCCTCTCCTCATCTAGTATCTCTTTTCCGCCTTTCCCTTCTGTCTTCCTTCATCCATGCTATCGGTCCCTGCCCCCGCCCGACGTCATCCAGAGCATGCCCCGAGGCCAACTCAAAACGTAGGTGCGGTGTCAAAGCAAATCAGACCTGCCACGTTGAGTACTTGTGTGAGTCCAGAGAGTAGCTCATCTTCATATGCTCGTTTCGGACCCTCTGCGGGCAAACACTTTGTGATAGGAACTCGACTTTGAAGTGCTATGAGGATGTCTTGATCGCACTCTCCACTCCGAACCCTGTCTGCCACCTCATGCACTTCGGGATGTTTTCATCAGTGAGAGAGGTGTTCAATCAAGCGCCAAAGCCTCCTCTAGGGTGCTTTTCTCAGAATCACAAGACACGCACTCGGCCGCTCACTGCAGAACGAAAAAGAAATGGAAGAAAGGTCTTGCCATGAGCACATGCAGGTATAAACAGCGTCGTTATGCTGTGTCTTTGGCTTCTGCGGAGCAGAAAGATTTTCTTACTCTGCCAGTCGGAAATCTCGAATGCTGGACATGTGTTGGGTTGCTTCATTGACGTGTAACGCAAAGAGAACTGGTACTCGCAAACTGAACTTCCCTTGGTTCCCATCCCAGACCGCTTATCCAGCGGATGGAAACTCGACAACAATGTCAAGCTACAAGGTATTGGAATTCCAGATGTCGATGTTATTTACGAAAACGTCGCGAGTTCCAATATTCTCAACGTGCAGGCACGCTGCAAGTTTCATCTCGGCAAATAGGTCCCAGATTCCCGAAGACGCGTTGACTTGGCAGACTGGTCTTGCCCCACGCTACGAAAGCCATGTCAAGACTTGCGCAGAGTTGTAGAAAGAGACAAGCAAGTACCAGAACGTAAAAGACGCCCTAATCGTAGTTAGCAACGGTGGTGCTCGCGTTCTCTCGCATCACAGGTTGTAAGGACGCTCTCTTTCATATCACGTAAACGTACACCTTGTGTCATCACAGAAGTAGGTGCTGGTAGCTGCTTCTTCATTATGCACTAGACAAGGTCTTTCGCTTCGTGGGTGACTGCGCCGGCATAGATGTTGTGACGTTGAGACACCGCATTGAAGAGAAGTTTGGGGGCAGTTTGCTGACTAGAGAGCACCTGGAACACCACCAAAACAGACGTCGCTGGTTCAACATTGGGAAAACCTATGTCTTTGCAAAGAACAGGAATGACCGAAATAGCATGCCCAATGATTGACTTTAGAGCCCATGTCTGCATTCACGAAGCAGGCATCATGTAGGAGTATCATTGATAAGTGGTAACAGTGTGGGGTGTTCTGTGAGGAGCGCGGTGCCATGAACATCTTTCTACTCTCAATAACCCTCATCTTGTCTCATGATGTTTCCGCTGTTTCTTTCTAGCCAATACATATTTTTATGCCGCCATTCGAAGATTGGCATCGTTAGTCAGCACCGTCTTAAACACGCTGCTCATGTATCTTGACGAAAGATGATCGCGAGGAAACCATATCGACGGAGTTGGTCGGCACGACTGCCTTGTTCAGTATAGATCTGACACTGCTTGCCTCCACGACGACCTATGGTCTTCAGGTCGTACTGGACGTAGAGGAGCCAGTACATGATTATAGTGTCATTAAATCATCAGCCAATCATAGCGCGTCGTCTTGATTTTACTACGATATCTACGGCGATTGCTTGGGCATTTCTGAGACGTGTTGATTGTCGAGATGCCGTGCGTGACAAAGAAGAGCGAGGACATCGCGGCCGCGATACATGACACAGTTTCGCGTAGAGGAATTCCCGATGGCTCCTGAAATTCCAAATCCGAGCGCAACCTCTCTCCCAAACCCGGCAAAGACCTACCAACCCAATTCCATCCCAAGGTGCTCTCCGATGTCTCTGCACGTTCGCTGGAAATCTCCTATCCCACTTCAACTCCACTGAATACGCCGCTAGAAACTGCACGCTTGCTCGAACTTCGGAGCGCTAGAATGAAGCATGAGCCACTCGACCAAAAGGTTCATGCACTAAGTGCCTGACGAACCGCTTGCTGGCTTGCACGACTACGCAGCCGCGGATCGAACGCATGAGAGAGAGGCAGCCTAGCAGTTTCTGTGAGCTCGAATCCCAAGATCGTTGTCTCCAAATAAGAGCTCATCAAAGCTGCGTGCGATTACCCTCGGCCAACACACGGGCTTGTAAGGCTCCAGTATGTTGGCGTTCTGCATTGCGTGACCCCAGTTTGAAACGGTTGAGAATCCGGATTCGTCATAGTTTCGGGTAGACGGCAGGGCTGGTGGGTCGAGCGGGGGAAAGTGGAACGATCTGCCGATTTGAATGAGCTCAGATGTCAATGCCGGTTTCTCGAAACCTGAGCTTAGAGGTTCCAGGTTCAGGGTGCCCTATGAGTTTGAAGAGGAGCACGGCTTGAGCTGAAATCAACTCTTGGCGTCTTTGAAGACTTTCTTCAAGTGCGTTACTACCGGGGTGCGTGACGATTGTCCAATCACGTGCAGATGTTCAATGTTTTGAACATGAAAATCGTATAATAGTTTAACACCACCCTATGCGTTACTTAATACTTGTTCATTAAACTCATGGTGTGCCTTTTCGACCTTTTGCTACATTGGGTTGCTAAAAGATTTCGATTCACAGCAAGACCGGGGATGGTACCGCACGTGATTGGGAAATTCGTCGGGCACCCCGGTGGTAGTCTTCGAGAGGAGAGGCTCGTATAATAATGCTGTAGTTGCAGATGAGGGACCTTCGTCTCAAAGGTGTTCAAGATAATCGATTTGTCGCTGAGGTTCGTTGACCCACTTCTAACCCGTTGTGGATCGTGTTTTCAGGAAGTCAGCAGTTTGTTTGAACTTTGATCGGCTCGTCCTCTCCACAAAGCCCCGAATAACCCGATCAGGAACGATAGGTATGCTGCAATTAGTCGACACAGGACCTTCTGGGGAATGCCCAGGTTGTAGTACAGCATTAGTTGGGGGCTCGCGCATCCAAATGCCGACAAGAATTCTGCGATGCAGCTGGGTAAGTAAGTCTTGGCTCCGGCGATGACTTACGACCAGATCATTCCCCTGACAGACAAGCCGGTACCGAGCAAATATGAACGACCGATTCGGTATTACGAACAGAATCTAGTTCACTCCGGCTCTTTGTGACAAATGATAGGATCAGAACGTCAGGAACATTTTTGAGTCAGGCAGATAAAATGATGGACGAGATCACTTAAGTCTGCTTAGATTACATAGTTTTTCTACTAGAAGTTTCTCTTACGAGTGTGCGGATTTCAAGGGAAGCTAGACTTCAGTAGACTGGCCCGTTATACACGATCTTTGGACGACTTTACAGATCTGGAAGGCTTGGCATTTGTGTTATGATGCGACTGACGGAGATCAAAGATCGTCGCCATCACTGCTGAGTCAATCAACTAGAAAGATGATCGCTGCAGTTTCCTGATGCACACAGTCCACTCTTAAATCTTCGCCACCATTCCTTGCCATCCTGATCCACCGCTTTGATGCGCCCTCTCAGTTCGTCGTTCTCATATGCTATGTCAATATGCAGTATCATGTCACTAGTTTAGTTCACTTTTAACCTTCTTTTTCCACCGATGGCGTTTCTTGTATAGGTCGACCAATACGGGTTGACCGGCTTCTACATCTCTGCACCCCCTCCACGTCCTGGATCTCCAAGTTGCGGTGAGGAATTTTGGCAGTTTGGGCGATACTTTATCTCATGCTAACCCCTCGCGACTCTTTCCTATTTTTGGTAGCTTCCGTTGTTGTGCTTTGGCATATTAGGAGCAATATGCTAAACGTTTACACACGGTCTTGTACAACTTGTGCAGGCTCAACGACGAGCGTCCAAATCGCTTCTTGTGTAATCTGCTCCAGCGTTGGATTGACGCCAGCGAGCAAAGGGAATAATGGATAATTCGTGCGGTGAACTCAGCAACACGCACTTGCCTCGGCAGCTTTTCAGATATTTCAATGGCATGAGGTTCCTGAGGCAGGTCCAAGTGCAAAGTGGTTCGGCCTTTGTCCAGAATTAGACATTCGGGCAGAACGAATAGTCCAACAATCGAAGCAGGCAAGTCGTCGATGATAAATGAGATGTCCTCAGAATGCCCATGCGCCCAGAGGTTGTCTACACCTGCTTCATTCTCCCTACCTTGGTAATCACGTACGCGAACTGGCATGCCTTTGAGTCTATGATGCGGACAGCAACGTAAGGGCGATCAACCTGTCTGGTGTTGAGTACCCTGTCGTGATTGACTACATTCGCAATGGTTTGCATCGATTTCAACATCTGGAGTCGTGTCCAGGTAAGTGGACACATACTCGACCACGAGCGCGATGATAATTCTGCGGACGGACTCCATCCAAGCCGCGGTAACAACTCGATCTGGTTTGTAAACGCGACGCTGACTCGCTTCTATCCGAGATAATCGGTCTGCTTTACAATCTCCGCCATAAGAGTCCCGCCGACTAATCACACAGAGATCGACGCACCAGGCCATGTTCTCGACCACGTCTTGGTGGACGAGGAAGGAGATAACCATGACAAGACAGGCAGACTACTTCTACTTCCATTACTATCCCTGCCATCTGCACCTCGATACAGAAGTACAGGGGACTTTCAACCTTCCACATCGAGTGCGCGAGTTTGAGGCTGAGTATGTTATCAAATTTAGGATGAACCTGGAGGTACACGTGAAAATGGCTCGACAATGGATTCCTTTATGGATCTAACTGCATTGTCGTATACATACCTCTCCGTTGTCTCACAGTCAATCCAGCACATGCTCGCAGCCGAGGGGTGGGCCTCGTAGATGCTTCGGCTCCTTTCCACGCCGACAGACAAGGCCGCAACCAGGCCATACTACTCCCCAGGTTTCTTGTTCTCGCCGAACAGAAATTCCACGAGCAACTATATAGAGGTAACCGCAATGTTCCTTATCACCTCACTTATAAACCCCTTTTTGTTCATGAATTTTCCAGTGAAAAGCTCATGACTGTACCCAAAAGGTTAATTGACTGCGCGATTGAAGTCCTCTCCAATACCGTACTAATCCTTGAAAGATTTGATGATCACGCCCTGCACTTTGAATTGCTACTGGCTCAAGTTGAGGGACAAAAGACCTTTACTCGAGCCTCCTACGACGAGTAAATCCATGACCAACACATGCAACGTCTGAAGGATGACGTGGTGGTCACGAACTTTTACTCATTCATCATTTCGATGAATTGAAAAGCCATAGTCTCCATGACCAAGTTCCACTGGTACAAGAACCAGTTTAAGCTCTTTGTGAGGATGTCAGGGTAGATCTTAGCCTCGACCGTCTTCTCGTATAGCCCCGTCTTGCCAAGCTCGATCTTGAACTCGTTTTGGCGATGTTCAGGAAGATCAGTACACCACATACTTACGCTCCGGGTTCACGATCCTGCGTCTAATCTCGCTCATGATCGCGGCGCTGAGCTTCATCCCAACGGCGTCTCGGTTCGTCCTCAATCTGTCGTCGGTCCACTTAGTCCATTAACGCTTCAGCTGATATATGTCCCCAATTCTTGACCGATACCTTGTTTGTTGCCATCCGCTCATGCGCCCATATAGTAAAGTGAGCCGAGGTTGAAGTCTAGGCTTAGTTTAGTGACGGCCGCATATCAAGTGTACATGGGTGAGCTAGGCATCCTGTTTCCCAGTTTGACTTTTTTGGAAAGTTCCTGACTGTGTCGCTTTCATGGAGCGGGGCATCGGGCGGAACATCTACCCTTCATGTTGGTCGACCAATCCCGCCTAGCATCGAGTCCAGAGCCTTTGACGTTTATCTTTCAATATCGTTGTAGTTGAACAGTTCTAGATCTCGATCTCGCACTCGTTGCAAATCCGGATCCTCTTCTGGCACTGGCCATGCGTTAGCAGCTTTAACAGAGTTCTGCTTACTCACCCGCATCTATAGATATCCTCATGATCCTTTTCACAATACACAACTTGCTCTCGTGCCTTTCCTAGCTGAACAACATCATTGTCAACGGGAATATAATTGCGTTGATAAACACCTTTCTAAGCCTACACAAGGGGTGAGCCTTCTGGTCGTCACATAGCAGGAGCCGGACCCCGGTGATAGTCTTGTCATCTTTACAAATTGGGCCTTTCCAGAGGCATCTGGCTGGCGTCCAGAGCAGACCGGGACGCCTGATCATCATGTCGTTCGGGTTCGGGCACGTGATCACCCACACAGGAGGCCTGTGATGCAGATTTGGGTCGTTCTCCGTATCCTTATTCCCAAGAACGAACCTGAATGTGCTGAAGCACACATATTTATTCACGCCCAACATCAATCGTGGCATGTTTGGCATGAAGAAGGACGTCCAACCTAACACCGCCAAAAAGTTGTCTGGAGCGTTGATGCCGGTGATGTCCAGCAGCTCAGTTCCCGCCACCCCTAAGTGCATCTGCAATTACAAGCCGTCACTACACCGTTGCTATCGATACAGCATCAAATAAAGACTGCCTGCTGCCTCTCGAGTCGATTCCTAAGCGTAATCCACTACAGGACATCCCTTTTGAACGAGATGATGTCCCCGTTATTCGTCACGCTCCGGCATGGGGGTCTCGTGCTCAACCGCAAGCTGTCGGTCGAAGGAACTTCGACAAACCGCGTAACGCGACACCTTGACCCAAAACCTGGCATTCAAGGACATTCCGTTTGTGAAATAATACCAGGTGCAGACGCTTCAGATGTCTGTAACGTTCTCGCGGGCGTTTATTAAAGCCTGTCAATCGTGCCATTGACCAACCTTCATCCAGAGGTGTTTGCATGTAATATTCCCCGTTTTCCGTCGTTGTTGGTCGCCCAACACTCTGTGTTCGGAATTTGGTGTGCTTGCACGTGAGCGCATACAGCGAGTGATTGAAGGTGATCTCTTCTCGAGGATCCGTGCACGTCGAATGCCCGAAGTTCCAAAGTCCCGGGATTCTACGCTTGTTCCCACGAGAGCACTCAGAGTCGCATCTTGGAAGGCGGGTAAGAGCCGACGGACAATGCTCCATTACGAGTATACCATGAATGAAGGTTCAGAGTGGAGTGGATCTGAAGAAAGTGATGGTGTGAAGGAAGGAGAGCCGATGATCTGGGAGAGATCCATTCGACAGAAAATGTCGGTATAGCAATCCACCTCTACGTTTTGTTCTTCTCCAGGTCAAATATCGTTCTTATCCTTGTCGCCGGTTGTAAAAAAGTGGGCTAGACAGACGTAGACCAGATTGGATTGAATTGATGGAAAGTCAATTTCACGCCAGTCAAACGGACGATTCAGCAAGTTGGCCTACTGCATCTTCACCGGGAAAGGATCATCTCATCCCCTTGGTTCTCTAATTTGTCGAGCATTCAGCGCGAGGTCGTTGACAACCATAGGCCCAATTGATATCCACGAAAGACCTGGAGATCCCCACAACCGTTGAAGTGCCTGTCATGAGCTTGAGCTTGGCTTTCTTCGTAACGTCGAAACGGGCATGGTGTTTGTCATGTCCATCTTTGCGGAGTACTTTGCGAGGACGAATGAGATCATGCAGATCTGGCGAACACAGACTTAGAGTACGCCCCGAGCACGTGAGTGGACGCAGGCGTAGAGGTCAGCGTAGTTGTCAGGATCTTGTATGTGACGGAGAACATCGGCAGGGTTCTACACATGTTGCAGCTCAGGCACATATAGTCGCCGACGGCGACCCACTCGAGTTCCTTGACGATTGCTATCCGCGAACTTTGTCGCAAGCGGAACGTATTGATGGCCTGGGGAGTTTTGTCGGCCCGATGTGCGCGGATGGCAGCTTCTTGTTTGCCTTCGACTTGTTCGTACATCACGTCATGGTCTCGAAACCGCAGTGTAACGAATACAACTCTTTTTACCGCATCAAGAACGAAGATCTTGACGGGAAGGTCAGCTGTTCGTTATCAGGGTAGTGGATGGCAATGACTCATCATAAAGGCCCTTTGTAGCTATAATCGCTAGAGATTTCCAAGTCGTGTATCGGGGCCATGGCACATAGTATTTTCGAACCATATTCCATGCCTTAGCGTATTGCCTCACTCTCCGAAGCTCTGCAACTGTCATGGTTGAAAGGTTTGAGGAGGTAGCAGGTTCACATGTCCTCTGGAGTCGAGTGGTTGGAGGGATGTCTCGGAAACTATCTTTCCAAACAAAGTTATGGGTAAAGCCCGAGAAGCCCGATGTTCGGTCTGCTTAGATGAGGGCAACCCTTCTAAGTCAAACTGCTCGAGAGTATCTTGGAGCGTGGCTGCTTGGCCCATCCTGCAGAACCAGGTCGTTGATGATATTTACCCCATCGACGTCTGATCCATCCGCAACTTTGACGTCTAGACTTTCATTGCATAGGAGACGTTTGTCAAGTGCATCGCAAGACAGCGTATTGTTTTTGATCTGCATGGACGAGTTTGCATCCGTGACTGATGTTCCAGGAATCGCGCTGGCATCACTTGATTATCCGGCTCAACCGCTAATTGTTCACAACCTGTGTTGACATGGTACGCGGCCTGACTTACTCACATCGGCTCCACTGGCTTCCTCATCTCCAGTGGCACCAAATTGCAGGCAAAGCGTCATCCCATTTTTGTGTAGTAAACGGCATGTCCTACGGGGTGGAGACGTGTGATAGTGAGTTCGGAGGGTTGAGTAGAACGAGTAATTATGGTTAGCCCCATTTATCAAGTCGAGGAAGAAACTTGTCGTTGAGTTCCTGGGCCAGGTCCGATTCAAACTGGCAATGACTTCCGGTGTTCAGCACTAGGTATCCTCTTGCAGTACAAGACTATGCAGAAGCTCATCACGACTCATGCAGCTGAATCACGGCAACACATTGATGAGTCTAGACGATATCGCAACAGCTGATAGTAAGAAGGCTCGAATGGCGCTGGTCGCCTCCATCATATGATACCCTCTTTGCACGCGCTATAGCTGAATAGGCATTGTAGCTTGCTCGTGTTTTGGCTTGTAGCGAATTTAGTGCGCATCGTAAGATCTCCAACGGGCAGCGTGTCGTCAGGGCTGCGCGACGAGCACAGTATCGCGCAATGGCGCATGACGGGAACAATGGTTGACGGCTGGAAAAAGAGCCTTTCATCTTACAAGGTAAGAGATCTGAGTATAGTACAACTGGTGCCTAAAACCACAGACGTGGTAATTGTTCAACTCGTTTCGGGCAATGCGTTTGAGTTACGTGATGAGGGTCTTCGATATCTCTCAGGTCTGTGGTATGTCTTTCACTGTACTATCTCTCTCCAAGTCTGCTGGCGATTTGATCCTGTCCCAGCCTGCAACGGCGCCGTTTGGAAACACCTCTGCAGACTCATTCAGGTCCAAGAAAATACCAATGCGTGAATTGCCACAGCCCGAGGCGCCTCCAACGAATTTGAGCTGACTCCAGGCTTCCGACTAAATAGTAATAAGCGGCGAAGAGGCGGATAAACCAGTATTCACTGGAGGAGTTGTGCAACAGCGGGCAAGGAGGGGCTCGCAGGTCGGATTGTGGTTTGATAGATTGATAGACATGGCGAAAGTCATGGACATGGTCACATCACAATCGCCATCCGTCAATACCGCTGGCATAGATGGGTCTCCGCGCGCGGCGCGGGCGTCTCGATGACGATAATTTCGTCGCCAGGAACGACCGTCAGTGTAAGGAACGCGAGGACTTCTTACACGATGCATGCGACAACCAACCCAAGGAAGCGATGGACGCCGCTTATACAGCGCTTGTACTGCTCCATGTTCCATCTGCCACTATCTGAACACGGTTGCTGGCCGACCGTAATCCGCAGAGCTGGGAGAATCATGTGCTCCAGCTGATAATCGGCCCATCCACCCGATATCAGCATCGGGCCGCGCAATCCACTCCTCTTCCTCTTCGCACGCTTGCCGAGCACCTCGTGCATCTTCTTATCGCCCTTCTCCTTCGTCTCACCTCGCTTGACATGGTGCTTGGATGCGCGGCGTTGGTCTGCATGCACAATGCGTTGCCGTCTTCGATATAGAGCTTTACTTTCGCAGGTGAGAGTTGTGCTGAGCATGGCCTTTTGGTAGCCGGTGAAAGATGTAGAAGAAGATGTAGCACTAACTCTTGAAGTTCCAACAACTGCGACTCACTAAGAAAAGAGTGGACCCTAATGCTCTGGTAGAACAGAACTCCCTGTCGAGCTTGGTGATGATTTGATCTCAACAGTACTGATGTTGGGCACAGCCTCTATTGAAAGGATGACGACATGAAGGCGGCCAAGTCCAGATCTGGCTTTGACCTCAAGAACCTGTCTTTCCTGCCTCAAGGGTCGTACCTGGCCATCCATCTGAGCGACTCCTGCTCCATCATCATAACAGAGGATGCTATATTGTTTGTGGCCAAGTCGTCGTAGGCGTACTTGCTAACACGTGGTATTGACTATATCAACCAGCTGCCGTTGCAATCCATGCTCTTTTCCCGGGTCACGACATTGACCAAGACACGCTCACCGCTCGACTTGTAGTTTCCCCGAGACTTTCAGACTAGGAACAACAGCCCAGAAATCGTAGAATGGTTACTTGTAGGTGGTGGTGAGTTGCAACCTCTGACTTCGTACATGCAAACGAGTTGAGGCCTGAAGCAGCGCGTAGTCATTTCGTTTGCATTTCCTCCTCCAAGCCGACTTCTTGTATATATCGAGGTCATTGATCGCTGTGGCACCCAAAAATGCCTGCTCGTGCTCGGAGTCGTGATGTAGATGTGTGAGCCTAGCCGTCAACCCTTTTTGGACCACCCGCGAGTTCGAGGGCAAGAGCTTCAGTTTCTCCCACTTCGGGTACCAGATCACATAGACCACCTGACGGTGGTTGCTTCGGAGGAATACCGGCTGCTGCTGTTTGTTCGACAAAGGGATATCTCAACTCTCATCGTGTGTTGATACAACGGAGAATGAGGGTTGTTGTGTGGGAGGTTCGCCGAAAATGAGAGTAGTAGATGGGCATCTGTGAGGGTTCGTCGAAGCATGATGTTAATCAAGCGGGTATGATTGCCTGCAAGGGTGTTGTACAGTGCATCGGGCGACAGCGGGACGATAGGAATACAGGTCATTATGTGCCCATGCGTGCGGATGTGGAAGCACGATAGAGTTGGGAGACGCGATGACCGTGCTAACATGTCCGAGGCTAGAGAGCATGGGTCGCAATGAGTGGGTTTGTGATGCCTGGCCTTGGGCAATTGGTTCGGATTGGAGCTTCAACCCGACATGTCACATCATGCCTGTCACAGATCATCACTGATGTGCAACGATGCAGAGTAGGTAGATGACCATGCGCTAGGCCTACAGCTTAAAGCCAAGCATACGGCTAGTGGAACCAAGGCCGAGGATTCCGAAGCCGAGCAGTTCGCGCATGGATTCACCCTGCACCAAAATGAGGCAGCCATCGCCTGGAACCTCCCACGGCGTGTAGGTAAGGGCCGAGCCTTAGTGGATAAGAAGGGGGTGACTTGGAACAGGCACGCCGGTGCTACAGGACTTCAGGGCCTTGGCCACCATGACCCAGTGAAGGATACAAATTTATGCGACGTCATGACGTATCGCGAAGCCGTTCTGCGATTCCAGTAGATCCATATTTTTTCCCAATGAACGATGATGGGCGGCTGTGTGCACTGAGCAGTATATTCGTGTTGCGGTCCCTCGACTACAAGGTCAGCGTTTGGAGAATTGCCAATGATCACCACAACGCTCTTCCAAAGCGCAGTCCGAGTCCGAACACCCCTTGACATTTCAACTGTCCACACAGCCGCAAGAAGGAACCGTTGGATATCTCCCAGGCCTGAATTGACAGACTTGGGAGTCTTTCCGCGACCGAAGAAGTATCAAAGAATTTGGGAGCAAACATCTTGGCGGTGTGTGATGGATCTTCTCACTCGATGGCGAAGAGAGTTTGAAATGGTAAAATAGCCGTTGCCGTGAGATGACGGTGCAATCAACGACCAGTGACATTGTATAGACGATCGGAGACGACGGTATCCTCCATTGCTTGGAGTTCCATCTGCTGGTTGACAACACGGACGAATGTCATGCCCATATGGCTATTCATGGTACTTTTTCCAAGCTGTGCTAGAGAGAAGGTCGAGCTGCCGCATGTTGTGGCATCGACCGATTTGAAGTGGTCAGTGCGACGAGGACGAAGCTCGAGGTTTTTCTTAATACTGATTGGGTTGATTTGGAATACACACCCTGACTGCAAAGACCGCGGGCGAAGGAGCAGTCGAAGCTTGACTGTCTGAGGTACCGAGAGCTTCAGGAGTCTGCGACGAAACTTCTGCAAGGGATTGGACGCGTCGGAGGCGAAGTAGCGTGTGCGATGGTTGGATCCAAAGAAGACCGCTTGGGGCCGGCGGCTGGGTAATCGATAGTCGATGTGAATTTCGATTGTCTATACGGCCTGAGCATGGCACGAAGTCGACATGGCCTTGATGCAGGTTCACGTGATGCTTCCTTACTCTTGCCTGTATTGGGCGTGCCATGTATGACCCGCGATGCGCCCCTTGTTGCTTTGCGTGCAGTGCTTCCATTCTCATCGGCGACTAGAGATACATCGTCTCGCTGTCTGTCCACCATCTCGAAGATGGACAAGGTTGTTTTCGTGACCCTCCTGCTCCTCTGAATTGCATGGGCCGCTTGTGGGGACATTGGTGTCGATCTCTCCCCTGCCGGTGTAATAAGGAGGACGTTGCGGCCAGGGCTTCATGTTTGGAGACGTGGCTTTTATGGAGGCCAAGAAAATGAAGGCAGGTCGTGTTGCGATGCTCAACAGTAGGAAACTTCATTGTTGTAGGCGATCGATTCGGCTGAGGCCTTGACGAACAATCCGGCCGGTGCACCATCCAGCGTCGATACGCGTGAGGGCAGTGTGTACAGCGGGGAAGTGTGAACGACGTCGGTTGAGACTCTGACGTCGACGGTATGAGACGCGGCGCGTTGTGTAAGGCGCGATGTATGGAACGGGTGGCCCGGATGGCCTGAGAAGACGTAGACGAAATGAGGTGCATGTTGCATGCATGTAGCAGTCGAGTCAGTCCTATTCCATCTGGAAAAGACGCGTCAGTAGGACAGGATGAGGTGCGCTGGACGCGAGTGGAAAGAACGAACGCACATGACGCCGAAGATGACAGTGTTACTGTGGCCACTTTGATGCCGCTATGTTATATCCTTGCTGCGCCACTGCGCAAATGCACTCGTTCCAGCCACTATGATCACGTGGGTGGAGTTGTACTGCCATGGCGGATATCGGGGTGAGGCTCCTAGGCAGGAAGGACGCGAGGTCGTTGCGGATACGGAGACACGGCACTTGTATGTTAAAGCGCTCGAGGCTGAGAGTCGTCAAGGTATGTCGTAGACGCGTCCCGTCGCGTGCACTCGATGCGGCAGCTCGTCGCGTAAGTTTGCGGCTGTCAAGACTGACATGGTGTGTTTGGGATCGACATTCGTATCGCGGAACGGGCACCGGTCACAGCAGATAGGCTGTGGAAAGCGTTGGTGTATCGTATCCGGAGCGGTAGGCGGCGGGCGCCAGGCGGCGCGAGGCGGGAGCGCTATGATGACGTTAGCGCTGCAATGTTAGCTCAAGTTAGGCATAGCGAACAAACAGGAGCTCACCGTTCACAATGCACTAGACTGGCTCGGGTGTGCAGCCTTGATTGTCATCGTGTGCGTTGAGGAGTCAAAATGACAGGGCACGTGGGGTGAATGAGGAGTTTAGGCGAAGGCTACATATCTGCCCAGGAGCGCGTGAGGTGGTTGGGGCATTCCCTGGTCTTCTACAGAACGGACGTGCGTTTCTCGCGCTAGAGCCCAAAGCGTGTTACCAACAGTGGAGCCGCTTTTCAACTGCGCATTCAGATAAACTGACCTGACTATCCAACATGTCTATTGTTTATCTCAGTGTTGTCGCGTGGCAAGCAGGGTTTCTAAATGAGCATAAGATAATCTAATATCTCAGGTTATCCGGCGATGTACTGGGATGGTGTCCTTACCTTTTCTCCAAATACAGCGGTAAGTTGTGTTGAAGTGCTATTGCTCTGTAAAAAGACAATGATCTTTAATATTGCATTTCAGTTGTTAGTGTCTTTCGGTGTCTAGCAGTCAAGCGTCCACAATGAGTTGTTGAAGATTCGAAGCCTATGGTTAGGGACAGCAGTTCGTGAGAACGGCAAGAACCCTTGAGAGAACACCAGCTACAAAGCTAGGAGAAGCACAAGAGGATACACTGCATCTTGGTATTGTGGGCAGCATATATCGTTGGAAGCTTGATAGAAATATACTCCTTCGTCAAGATCCTTCCACTATGGTTCGAATCATCATGGTCATTATCGTGGCTCAACTCAGTTCGGCCGTCATTGACTTACTTCAACCCTCCGATGGCGAACTAGTCGCTTCACTTAGAGAGTCCAGTGATATTTTCCGTGCTGCGGAACCAAGATATGCTGCGCTTAGCTATGCAAAGGCTACTACATCCCTACATGAATGTTACGATTCACAAGACGTTCTACAATCTTCTTCTGTACCTGATGAGGGATGAACATGCAATCATTGTCTTCCATATGCATAGCCTTACTCAAGCTACTTTACATTACGTCTGGTGTTGGCAGGCTGTAGTAGGAGGTGTAAGGTTGGTGCTATGTAACCTTCCTGGTCTTCAACATCATTTCATGTAGATGGAGGGTTTGTCTGAAGTTAACTCAAACGTATCACTCCGCATGTATGTGATTACAGACACACTTTATATCTAGTCACACAACTCCGATGATTGGCGTTCTCATCATGTGAGGGCTTTCTATTCGAGCATAGAGGGTATAAGACTTGGCAGAGGTCATCACCATAACATGGGTCTGCTACCTTACATAAAGAATATATGTCCTTCACAAGAGATTCCACCTGATGTACGATAATCCAAAAACTTGCTCAGCGATAGATCATCCATCGACCGACTTTAACAGATCGCAATCATTATGTTTCCTCAGACGAGAGCACTGATTGTAAGTTGGTGTTCTCCTACCCGTCCCATACGCTTCTATCTATCGCCGCTACCTAGCATAGCTCCCTCTGCTTGCATTTTTATCTTTGCAATCCTTTGCAAGGTTTTCCTACACTCTTTCGCCTCGGCGCCTTCCAAAGCGGCTACACACCCTGACCTGGAAAAACCTATGTAATATTTTCGTCATCTGTAAAAACATATTTAGAGTATGGATGTCCGATGCAGCTATCGTTAGGACACTGTTCTGGGGGCTGTGAAATCAAGAAGATACAGAGATGTAGGCGTCATTCCCAATGTCCAGTGATGAGGGTCCAAAACCCGAAGTTATACATAATGCTTGCCCATAATCGACGCCAGCAAAGTTTTGTAAAGTTGAAGGTACGATTGGATAATATTAACTAATTCGATGCGAGCTAAATAATGTGGCATCTTGTTAAGAAAGTATCGATACATCATGTCCGTCTGATTAAATTCCAGCATTATGTCGGTAAATAAATTGCTTACTGCCTCTGCTCGCTCCAAGACCAATCACCCTTTCCCATGCTTGACTAAACAGTCCAATCCCAAGAGTCACCAACAACAGGCATCTCCGTCGCACCCCAGTCCCAAGAATCCGCAACTACAGGGGTCCCCGTCACGACCTCAGTATGCTTCCTTGGCTGTACGCAACGCTGAAGCCAGCCAGTAACAGCGCGAACTCCACGGTCAAAGGCTTTCGTCGCACTTGACAAATGGTTCGTGACAAAATCGGCGACTCGATAATGAGGCGGCGGAGCAACAGGTGAACTTGTGATACTTGCATCACCAAGTGAAGACCAGGCTGAGTATGTTGAAACTCGAGGCTCTGGCGCATACTGTCCGAGGGATTGTTGGTGGTGCGGCCAGGTGGAACAATCGAGAACACCCTGGGGGAGAGCGTCCGGCTCCGGTGGGTTGGATACTGACTCCGTGGTTCGGTCCACAACATGGAGCGAGGTGTCGGAGGTAGGCCATTGACCCCATTCGTCTTGAGCGTGGACACTTGATCCCCAGAAATAAGGGTGTTGAGATGCTGAGCTTGATGTATGACGATGCGAGCTCGATTGAACACAATGCGACAGCGGGCTGGATATTTTCGGTGCCCAGGGACTTCGGTCAGGCGAAGGGTGAGCCAGTTCACTTCAAGATCTGTTAGTGGATCGACGACAGAAACGCTGGGTGTATGCACCTGATAGGGACTGCCTTCATCTCATGCGATAGTCGATCCGCTGGCCAATACGTCATGTCTGGCGACGAAGGCGACAAGTGCTTGTCAGAAGGCTCCATGACTAAGCCGGAGTTGATATAGGGCAAACGAGACGGAGCCGACACAACGACGAATGTTGAGCGAGTTGACAGTAAAGAAAGATCTTCAACTCCATCTGCGTACATGGTGAAGTACTTATACTGGCATTTGTAAGGACACGGTCGTTTAATGTAATCTGAGACAGGTCTCAGCGACGGGTAGCATGGGTGATATCTCGTTTGGAGGCCGTTTGTTTGGTGTAACCCTCTTGACAGGATGGCGAGAAGACTAATCCCATCTGCTAGTGTGCATGCGCGCTTCGCATTGCACCTTGATATTGCACACTCTTGATTAGTATTAAACGAATCATTGACGTTAGTCACTAGAAACAACTACTGTTGTTCTCAATACTTCCCACCGCGAATGATCTGATCGATTGGTTCTGTGTAACCATTCCCGTCGTTGACCCACATGGCAAGTCTCGGTACCAGGATACACCTGCATACCAAGGCCTGCTCGCAAACGCGACCATCCTTACTTTCTCCACAAGCTTTAGTACTGTTTACAAGGACGACACGACAGATAGTTTAAGGAGTTTTCTGATAAGACTTATGCAAGGTTCCTAGCGCTAGCCGTGGAATCAGCAGAGTGCCTATCCCAGGTAGGAAAAGCTAAAGGCGGCTTCTAATAAGGTGTAAGAAAGAGTAAGAAAGGCGAACTAATATAGAGATTTTATTATACAAGGTAATTAGTAGAATTATAGTACTGAAATGCAGTAAATTACATTAGTACTAGGGAGTATACAAAAGAGAAATAGGTAAATTTATACATTAAACATAGTAAAGGTTGTTAGCTACTAGGTATTAAACTCTCTGCAGGTTTTAATATATAATAAGGCGTAGTTAATCAAGAATATCTATTGCTAATAATAAATAGGTAATAATAAAGTAATATATAGCAAGTCTGTAATTAAATAAATCTAATCCTATTTAAGTAGATAATTAAGTAAAAGTAATTAGCAATATATTTTATAAGATAAAAGTATTAAATATTATAAAGAAGTAAATAAGCAAAGAAAAACCTAAAAGTATATAGATAGATAAAAACTCTAATAGAAAGTAATAAGATTTTTTTTATAAGAAGTCTAGGGTATAAATTTAAAAGTTTAGAATCTAGCTTTACCTAAGATAAGGCTATAAAGCTAAGAAAACTTAATTTAAGTACGTGCTTTTCTAGTTATATAAGCTAATAACTAAGTAAAGAAAAATTCTTATCTAACCTTTAATAAAAGCTATATTTAGTATACTTTGTTAATTTTAAGTATTAAGCTTAAAATTAAAATAAGTAGTAGAAACTTAGTAGGTATTAACGTTAAATATAATATTAGTAGTA